TTGTGAGTTTAACACGAATGCTTTAATATCAATGCTTCAAAGTTAGCAATCCAAGTTCTACATCATGACATCAAGGAAAAACAATTCTATTTAATACTTTATTACATTCCTATGTATAATTGGTACTTAAGATATTTAATAAGTATTCTTTCATATATTTTTTCTTTTTATCTCAATTGGATGTCAGCATCACCGTCTGTGTGAAAATCGAAAGTGCAGACACGTACTTGACCATATCAAGTATCTTCCTTATTGTTCGAAGAATGCACTTTTAGCTTTAAATTTGTGTTCCGCATGGTCATCTATATCAAACTTGACAAGTTTCAACGGCATTTATATTTCAAGACATCCGTACACTATCAACTACCCCACAGGTTTTGAAATTATGCTTTCTTATTATATTTTGTCGAACGGTTTATCCCTTGAACGATTACGTAATGTGAGCATTTTGTTTTATTTATCTTTTAATATAGCTATATAAAATTGGTGTCCCTGGTATCGCTTCCAGGAAAAGACATTCGCCCGGTATTCATACAAAGAAGTGTATTAAACTGCGAAAAAGGGCCAATACCGACTACTTATATCTTAGAGGCGTCCGTGGCCGAGTTGTTAAGGTCGTTGACTTCAAACCATTTGCAATTTACCGCTGTCGGTTCGAATCCCGAAAGGGACTTTGAATTCTTTCATGTGAAGAAGCTATCTAGCTAGTTTACGGAACGTAGGTGTTTCTACTCAGGTGCCGCTCGTGCATGATACAATGCACGAAATATCCAGCATGGAGGTTTTTAAATATAATTCACTTTTTTATTTGGTGTACTGACAGTTTTTTTTAAATGGATGTTGTTTCATAAAGACTTCATTACTTACCAGTATCAGAACTGTCGGACACCATTCTCCGCTATATCAGTTTTGTAAGTTCATAATCTATAATGGAATTCGATACAATTTTATATACAATAGCTATTTATAATCGTTTCAGAAAGTGTTTACTTGACTGATTCTGTGAAACATTTCAACATATTTTAACATTTAATCATATCTATAAACTACATGCAATTTCTATAGCGGCTCAGTGTTATATTTAACTTCCAGGTATTTCATGATGTGCCCTTCAAGGCTAAAACAGCTTTCGTTGTCGGATAGGGACCACGGAAAAATGTCACCAGTTATGTCCTTTAGGGGTTTATTTTGAATTAATGATTGTCAGTTCCAAAAAGCTTTATTTGTAAAGATATTACCGAATTTACATTTCATGTAAATAAAGGGGGAAAGTCGAAGCCAAATTTTTCAATAAGAAATGAATGCATATGTTTAAATGATTACTTATAATGCAGATGTCCACTTGCAGTACATATTTAATACATTCTAGGATGTTTGAAAGTTGTTTCAGGAGAATAATTATATACATAAATAAAATTCCACTTAAGTGTTGTTACATCCTTAATTACAACATACAGGATCTTTAAGCTAGTAAAGTTGTAATATAAACATTACTAAATAACAACCTAATCAGTTCTAGAAGAAGTGGAAAAAATAACTTTGTTACAGAACTTTACTACTACATTAATTTTTATCTCCCTTCGTTTAGGCAGAATAATTCAAAAGAGACTCTAGAATATGATGCCATTTAATATGCTTTAATGTATTCAAGAAATTATATACGTTATCACCGGTTTGAAGTTTTAATGCGTATGAATAGAGCACGAAGACCTGTCCCGGACAGATATCATTTCTTTTCTAGCATTATTAAAGTTTTAATATATTCACAATTGAATAAATGTTGTATGCAATGAATGAGTGATTTTGCAATATATTTACCAAATTTCTTCAGCGTGACTAACGCAGTAAGAACTATTTTTTACTATTTTTACCTGTTTTTTATTAAGTAATTAAGGTGGGTGCTGTTTGGAATATGTATATAACTCCTTTATTCACTTCTTTAATACACTTTCATATTTTTCAGGAAAATAAGTATTAATCTGGAGCCATGCTACTGAAAATGTACAAATTAAACTTAGTTCAATTAATTGAATTAATCTTATATGAACAATTATTTGTTTTGCACACCCTACAGAATATTCAGGCATTCTCACTGGTGATCATTTCAGTTTTTGAGTTGGAGTAAATGTGTAAGGCTGAAAACATTAATGTTACAGGACGTTTCTGTAGTGGCGATATGGCTGAATTCAGAATTCAACCATGTGGCATCAGAATTCAGCCATGTGGCGTTTTTTCAATATTCGCTACCACCTTTTTGTTGCTGTTGTTGTTACCAGGCATCTTTAATTGACTCATGCCCATTTTTTTCTTGGGACAAAATATGACCATTCAGCAATGAAACAAATAAGTGTACGAAATGAAAGTTCTTTTATGTATTCTAGTTGTTAACAAAACTCTTTGAACCAGCATGAAAAGTAAAATGACTTTAAAAAAATCTTTTTTTTTTCAAAATTCCATCGAAATATACATTATTCATATACACCATCTATAATATGTAGCAAAAAGCAACGAAATGCGATATTATTTGAAATAGCATTACGACAAATATTACTGAAACATCCGTTGACAAAATAGAATAATAATAATAATAATAAAATCTTTATTTATAGAAGGTAACATACAAAATATGATAAACAAGATCAACAAGGAAAGGCGGCGTTCAATGAACGCAACCCCCACATGACCCAGCAACAAGAACCAATGGCAAGGAGCCCAGGGGGACCCCAAACAAAAACAGGACAGGGCAAAGACAGTAACAAGTACACTTATTTTCAGTATGGCCTTCTGATTTAACAATAACAAAGACAAAAATGTAGAATTATACAAATATTTAAAATCTTTTGGTATGTATAAAAAAGAAAAAAAAATAATGTAAAGATTAGATATTTTTTATTCATTCATCCGACTGACACTCATATTAATTATGGTAATAATAGATAAACTCGTAATGATTAAAAAAAAAAATAGAAAAAAATGATGATATCAACATTTACAACAATTAAACTATAAAGTGATCAATTTTCATCATGTATCTAACTGTAAACTTAGAAAATAAATTTTACAGTTGTTTTTGAAAGATTGTAAAGTCGAACATTGTTTGATAGTAATAGGTAATTTATTCCAAACGTCAATACTGAAATAAGAAAAAGAATCCTTTAAATAATTTGTATGAGGTATACTTTTCAGTACAAGATCTTTATGAGCGATTGAGCGTAAATTATGTAATTCATTGTGAGAGAAACTAAAAATTTCACTCATATATAACGGTGCCAGATTGTTTAAAGATTTATACACCATAATTGCTGTGTGGTATTTCACTCTGAAATTGAATTTCAGCCATTTAAGTTTATTAAAAAGATCTAATGTTGGTGAACGTATCGGTCTATTAAGTATAATTTTTGCAGCTCTTTTTTGAATTGAGTTTACTTTATTGATGTATGAATATGTGTCCTTTCCCCATACCGTACAACAATAATCAAGCACAGAGAAGGATGTACGCGTTGTAATATATCTTTTTAACTTCGTCAGTAAGGTAAAAAATGATATGTTTGAAGAGGGCAATTTTTGTATTTATTTTTTTTGCAAACATAGTCAATTTGATAATGCCAGTTTAATGTATTATCTACATAAATGCCCAATAACTTTTGAACTGTAACATTTTCAAGAGTTGTATCATTTACTTTCAGTAGGAGAGGATTACATTTCTTCACCTTTTTTGAAGAACCAATTATCATGCATTTTGTTTTTACTGGGTGCAAAGACATATTATTAAGGATACACCAATCATTTATATAATTTAAATCTTTTTGTAAATTATCTTGTATTTCCAGTAAACAGTCACCGGATTGGTAAAGTGTAGAGTCATCCGCATACAAGTCTATATTAAGGTCATTACGGAGTATAGATATATCATTTATATAAATCAAAAATAGTAAGGGCCCAAGAATGGATCCTTGGGGAACTCCTGATTTTACTTGTAAAATGTCAGATTTTAAATTACCTACTTGAACTGTCTGTTTTCTGTTTGATAAATAGGAACGAAAAAAATTTTTTTCAGAAAAATGATATAATTTCAATTTGTGTATAAAATTTCATGATTGACAAGATCAAACGCTTTTCTTAAATCAAGGAAAATAGCACCTATCATTTTACCATTATCAATATCTTTGATCCAGGCATCAATTAATCTAAGTAATGCTGTATTACAAGAATGGTTTTTTCGAAACCCTGATTGTCTGTCATGTATAATTTTTTGTATTTTGAAAAAATGTCTGAAGATGTGACGCAATATGTCGTTCAAATATTTTTGAGATGGTGGGTAGCATTGAAATTGGGCAATATTTTTCAGAAAAGTCTCTATTTCCTGATTTAAACACAGGCAAAGACACGAGCTTCCTCAAGTTTTATCAGGAAAAATACCCAAATGTATTTTATTATTATAATAGATATTATACAAGGAATTATAGTATCCCAAGAACTTTTTTCAAAAATTTCGAGGGCAATACCAGTCAAGGCCTGTAGATTTATTTGTGTTCAATTTCGAAATAATTTGCTTTCTTTCCATGGTCGTTATATAAGGAATATCAAATACGCGAGAGCCTAGCAATGTATCCATTTTTTCTTTTAAAGTGGAAAAATTGTTTTCAGAAAAAGGGGTTTTGGTAATGATATTTGAAATATTTATAAAATGTTTATTTAGTTCATTGATAATTTCTAATTCATTTTCAATTACTCCATCATTTTTTTCTATTTTAGACGGAAGTGTTTTCCGTTTAGTTTGATTAATGTTAGAAGCTTCTTTCAAGTTTTTCCATACATACTTTGAGTCCTTATTCTCTTCAATGACATTATTAAAGAAATTTTTCTCAGCCTTTCTAATTAACGAAGTAACTTTGTTTCTTAAAATTTTGTACTGATCGAAATCTCCTTTATTATGACACTTATTTCGCAAATTTATCTTTTTTTTAATTTCATCTGTAAACCAGTCAGGTTGGTGCTCCCGTTTAACGCGTTTTTCTTTCATTGGCGCATGTTTGGCTAATACACCATTTAAAGCAGAGTAAAAGAAATTTAAAGAGTTATTTGGATTTGTAATTGTTTCAGTAATATCTATACCTATTTAATAAATACACCAAAAAACTTATTAAGATATGTAATTAAGTTTAATAGAACAAGAAACAGCAGACTTCCTGTAGAAACCGGAAGTTGGAATGGTATAGATTTAAATTTACGTAAATGTACTCTTTGTAACAGCTCAGGAAGTATTGGAGATGAATTCCACTATCTCTTTGAATGCAATGAATTATCTGTACTAAGAAAAAGAATGCTAGATCATAATTATTTAAGACATCCAAATATATTAACTTTTAAATCTATTCTGAATATGAATATGACTCATTGTAATGAATACAGAAATTTTTGTTTATTTGTTAAGGAAATAATCACAAAATTTGAGAATAGTTAACATTTCTACATATTTGTTCATCATGTCCTTGAAAATGCGTGTTTCTCTCCATTTTGTTAAGATGAATTGTATTAATATTGTTATTTTCATGTGTATGCTATGCCTCTTTATGTAATGTACGTTTATATGCTATAGCTCATATTGTCATGTGTGTACATGAATTGAGTTCTAAAATAAACTTTGAAACTTTATACCAGATGTTAAAAGATCACGTTGAAAATTTTCTTCACAAAAAGTTTTAGTCATTCTATATTTTATCACCTTATGCAACCCATTTTTTTATTTTTGTGAGTTTTAGTTGAATAAACCATGCATACAGGAAAATGATCACTCATAGATAGAGATGAGACGAAATTGTCTTTCACGTTCTCAGTATTACTTGCATATATATGATCAATTATATATGAACATTTTTTGTTGTTCTCGTCGGATGTTTTATTAATTGTATTAAACCGAACTTAGTTATTGTGTTCTTCCATTTTGTGTTTCTAAATATTTCCGTTTCCTGTTCTGGTAAATAAGGGATATTTAAATCGCCCATTACAAAATATTCAAGAAGTGAAGTATCGAATAGTGTGTGCGTCGAGATTCACACAAAAACTATAAAAGACAAAACTTATAAAACCACTGAGTGTGGTTTCCATGGTTTTACATCGATGAATTCTGTAATGTCACTGTTTACTTTCTTATTTTATTAGTTAAATATCTTAAATTTTGATGTTCACATGTTATGAAAATAGCTCATTAATCGCCATCCGGTTGTCTGAATTTAAAAAGAAATAAATACGAGGGTGGGTAATATGTTTGTTAAAAGTGCTGAAATAGGGATTTACACAAAAGCTCGAGCAAAAATAGGAAAGTCTACTCTTTCTATTTTGAAACAAATCCGACATGTTCTCTTTTTTTAAATTTGTTCTATGAAAGTCTGTATCAAAGCAAATAAGACAATATGAGAAATGTGTAGATACTGAAAGATACGATATATGTCTTAATTAAACCAAATTATATGCCATGTGTAATGTATATTTATTAATTCACGATAAAAGAAAATGCATTATGCACATTGAAATTCGTAAAATAAGAAAAAAAACTCACCAAAACATCAAAAAGCAAAGTAGGTCCACGTGGATTGTCAATGTTAGTGGCTACACTGAAAATGATTCATCATAGTAAATTTAAGCAAAAAATAATTTAATAAGATAAATACAATAATGAAGTATTTTCCATTTCAGGTAGAGTATAGAATTCTGTCTTAGCCAGTGCTATGGGAGTGGATGGTACCTTGCAAATACCGTCCATGAACAGACTCAATCAAACCGAGTCTAAACATTTTCCATTTTGCCGTTTTGGACGTTCTTAAGGGATTCTTATTATCTCTACTTGATTTGCTTGCAAAATAATGCGATTAAGTTTAATGGTATATAGCTATATCTTATGTAATAACATTATAAAATTTAAAAACAGGTTTGTTCCCATAATCTTAATTCTCGAAAGAGTTGTTACAAAGGCTATCTCTGTTATTTAACTGTACGTTAAGATAATAAAATACTGTTAAATAAAATATTATGCTGCTATTTCAATTCTACCAATGATTTTGTGCACGCGCTATTTGTTTTGAAGGATATTTACTAACGGAATCCCTTCATTCTAGAACTTTGGAATGTTCTTTTTAATAAACAATTGTTTCAAATGTAACATGTATGTTGTTTAACAACTGTATGTGCTTAACAAAACACAAATATATCATTCAAAATATAGCATTTAATGCCAAAATTTATAAGCTGGTATTTCATTGACAAAGAAACGTATTAGTAATCTAATAGTCATGTAAATGTGTATTTTTATATCCAAAAATGGTTAAACTACAATGATCTAGAAAGTAGCTTTATAGATACGATTTACCTGTCCCAGAATTTATCCGCATCCAGCACTGATGCTGTCTTGATGTGGATAGTATCCTTTGATATTCTTTCTACTTCAAACAATCCATTAACGTCTATATCTAGAACATAAATTGAAGTATAAGATATGACCATATACATAAATCTAAACGTACTTTTTCAAGAGGCATGTTTTTGTTGTTTTTCTAAGGGGATGTTGTTTTTGGTTTTCTTTGTGCGTGTTTTTTTAATGCAACGGATCCGAGCAAAAACCATATCAGTCCGGACCATTTTTGATTAAGATTTTTCCATGACTAAGTGGTTTAGGTCATCGACTTTAAAGCACATACCCATCACTGCAGAGGGTTCAAACGCAGTTTATGGCACCACATTTGCTTGAATATAATTGTATGTTAAGTTAGTTGAACACAGCATTCCTTCGCAATTGAATAAAGAGCTCATATTTAACTATAAAGTGACTTTCGAGCTTAACTGTAATATGGCTCAAAATTGGACTCAATGAACAACATTAATTAAATGCTTAACTCATGTGTACGAAACTCGATATATCTATAACAAGGGGTAGGACCTACATCATTGTGTTCGGTGCTTTAAGCAAAAACAAACGTGTAGTCTATAACTAATGGCGGCAATGGCGTAAATATTCTGTTTTTAAGTCAATCAGCAGCAATTTGCTTGGGATTTTTTGCTTACCAAATCATTTTGCGTCATTAAAGTGATACCTTTAGTAAATAAGCCCACAGTAAAATATTTCCAACTCGTTAAGCACAAATATAGTGCTTCTATATTCGGCTTTGTAAACTCAGATAATAAACGTATATTTCGGGTCACCTTAAGATCATTTCGTGTAACCTCGGTTTTTAATTTATGTTTGAATTAAAATTTATCAAAATAATTAAGTTTGAAAATATTCTGTTGGAAATATAAACGTTATGTTAAGTTAATATGATTCCATTAATGTTCTTATATAGATAGAGTGTTTCCTCTAGCAAATTGCTTCATACTGACATAAAAACGGGTCACCTTAATTGGTACCCCTTCAATAAATTTTTGCAACATATTTTTCTTTCTAAAAGTACCAACAGTTAGTAGACATTTATGGGAAGGTACTGGTCATATACATAAGAAAATCCGATTACCTATTTAAACTCCTGAATAATTAAGAGTAAATAAGCCAATTGATTTGGTCTAGCGTAAAAATGTAAGGCTTTCTTAAACAGGAAAGCAAATATTTTACAGGGTTTGGCAAATATAACGTACCAAAAAGCTGACACTTTTTTTTAATTTATATAAACAGTATTTCAGTAAATTTAGGTAATAAAGAGGTTCGCTTATAGAATATCTATCAAATGTGCGCATGGGAGAAAGTATTAATGAAAAACATATATTAAGTTTACATTTATATAATTTATTTAAACAATATTTCAGTAAATTTAGGAAACAATAACTTCTTTTTGCTTTAAATTAAATAAATTTACCTGTGTGACTTTCTAAATTAATCTGTAAATCTCCGAATTTTCCATCATCCGGGTCAGTCAATGAGAGGTTGGCTACTATGGTGCCGACTGGGACATCTTCAGGTACGTCCGTTATAATGTATTCCGGAAGAATAATTGGTCGGTCATTCACTTCTTTCACATCTATTCTGATTGGAACTATATTTAGCGTTTCATTTCTGTATGGCTCTTTCAGTACACTGACAGTTGTCTGTTATCAAATAAAGAAACATGACATAATATTGAGTTTTTAAGTTTCAAATTTACATCTGTGAACATCTCCAGATGCACGTTCGTGCCGTAATTCAGGGGGCGGACATACCCTTATCACTTTGTAAGAGCCACTGGCCGTTTGCAACTAAATTTTGGTGAAACGTTCGTGGCGGGATCGATTCTATGCCAAGAGGATCAACCTGAACCACTCTGCAATCTTATAGTTGGCCAGATTTATGTGGGGATTTTTTTTCACAGCCAACATAAAAATCGTAAATGTGGAATCTTCTCTATTTATGCGTGTTTCAAATTCTCTACACTAAACATTTAAATGTCGTACTGGGTTCATTAGAAACAACTTGAAGACTAAATTTTAAGAAAACGAGCTATTATTGGTATTATGATTAATGGTTATGTATAGGTTAAAAATTCAAACTAAAATTATGATGTGCATCTGGTTATTCACATATTTCGTTAAAAAGTTTTCATTTAGACTTAATTTTATTCCATTTAACAAGTTTTCATGCAGACGAGAGTTTATTCCATTAAAACGATTTTGTCTTTCGATAAAACTTAATAAGATATAGATACTGATATGACAACAAATAAAATAGTTCAAAAGCGCAATAATATAATCCAGAAACAATTTACCAATATATAATGCCTTAAATATTGTTTAATGATTGGACCACAACCCAAAAAAGAATGATCGGATCGGTAATATTCACTACGTCATGATATTAATATTGACGTCATGTCCGATGGGGGAATAGTGTGTTAAAAAAGAGAAATACATTTACTTACATTCCAACTACCTTTATATGGTGCATCTTTTATTGTTAATACAAGGTAGTTTAAATTTCCAGATTTCACGTTTTCTATCATAAAGTATCTGTGTTCGTTATATGTGATGTCTAACCGAAAATACACGCTTATGTTGATCCAGTTGTTGCAAAAGAAACTAATTTTCGTTGAGCTGTCGCCTTTCGGAAGGTCGTCACTAATTGTTAGATTTATGTAATTTGGTGTGCACTCTAAAATAAAGAAATAAAGAACTATGTAAAGTAAATAAAGGTATATCTACAAAGTGAAAACTTACGATTTCCGTCACGCACATTGTTGTTTAAACTAATCCTAAACTAAAGGCACATAGTTGTCTTTCAGGCAAATTAATTTCTGATTAAATAGTGACCAATGCAGAACATGGTTTAAAAAATAAAGATAAGATATCGGTTAAAAAGAAATGTCGATCATATAAACTTGAAAGGTTTCAATGACCTTGCTCTGTGGCAGCATAATCATATAATATGCATGTGCAAACCCTTTAAGATAATTTGCACGAGTCTACTCTATAAAATAATCTGCACTATTGAATTTAATAAAACAATCAGCACGTGCAAACCCTTTAAGATAATTGCCACTAGTCTACTCCATAAAATAATCTGCACTACTAAACAGCAAAGAGAATCTGCACGATTCAACTCTATAACATAGTCTGCACGACAAATCCCTACAAGATCATCTGCACAAGGCAACTCTATAACAAAATCTGAATGAGTCTACTCCAAAAGGGAATCTTCACGAGTCAACTCTATAACGTAATTTGCACGAGTCATCTCTATAAGGAAATCTGCACGAGTCAACTCTGTAACAAAATTGCGCGAGTCAACTCTATAAGAGAATCAACACGAGTCAATTCTATTAGAGAATCTGCACGAGTCAACTCTGTAACAAAATTGCACGAGTCAACTCTATAAGATAATCTGCACGAGTCAACTCTATAAGAGAATCTGCACGGGTCAACTCTATACGATAATCTGCACGAGTCAACTCTATAACATGATCAACACGAGTCAATTCTATTAGAGAATCTGCACGAGTCAACTCTGTAACAAAATTGCACGAGTCAACTCTATAAGAGGATCTACACGAGTCAACTCTATAAGTTAATCTGCACTAGTCAACTCTATAACATGATCTGCACGAGTCAACTCTATAACATAATCTGCACCTGTCTACTCTATAAGAGAATTTACACGTGACAACTCTATAAGATAATCAGCACGTGTCAACTCTATAAGATAATTAGCACGTGTCTACTCAATAAGAGAATCTAGACGTGTCAACTCTTTAACATAATCTGCACGAGTGAATTATATAAGAGAATCAACACGAGTCAACTCTATAACATAATCTGAACGAGTCAACTCTATAAGAGAATCTACACGTGACAACTCTATAAGATAATTTTCACGGGTCTACTCAATAAAAGAAACTAGACGTGTCAACTCTTTAACATATTCTGCACGAGTCTACTCTTTGACATAATTTGCACGAGTCAACTCAATAAGAGAATCTGCACGAGTTAACTCTATAACATTATCTGCATGAGTCTATTCTATAGGAGAATCAACACGAGTCTACTCTATGAGAGAATTTGCACGTGACAACTCTATAAGATAATCAGCACGTGTAAACTCTATAAGAGAATCTGCACGGATCAAATTTATAAGAGAATCAGCACGAGTCAACTCTATAACATAATCTGCACGGGTCAACTCTATAAGAGAATCAGCACGTGACAACTCTATGAGATGATTTGCACGTGTCAACTCTATAAGATAGTCAGCACGTGCTAACTCTGTAAGATAATCAGCACGTGTCAACTCTTTACGATAATCTGCACGTGTCAACTCTATAACATAATCTGCACGAGGCAACTCTAAGAGATATAAGCACGTGGCAAATCTATAAGATAATCAGCACGTGTTAACTATTTAAGATAATCTGCACTTGTCAACTCCATTCGAGAATCTGCACGAGTCTACTCTATAAGAGAATCTACACGTGACAACTCTATAATAACATTATCTGAACGAGTTAACTCTATTAGATAATCAGCACGAGTCAACTCTCGTAGGATAATCTGCACGTATCAACTCTATAAGATAAACTGGCAGTCCTTTATATCAGTATTCATTTCTACATTATGAATATAATTATACATGAATATGAAGTTGAATATAAACTCTTCCTGAATGTCTAGTGCGTATGTCCTTGTAAAGTATCCAATGAAGTTGCTAATTACGACAAAATCATACAGGCATATTGGCCTCTATCTAATTAAAGATTATTATGCATTTTTCTTCGTTATATTTAAAGCAGCACGTCTCAAAGATTTCTGTAATTTTTACGAAAATTTATACGAATGCTACACATGAGTTTAAAATATTGTAAAGCGTAAAAATTACGTGATTAGTCTGATATTTTATTCATTATTCTGGTGACGTGCCCCTTTAATACCAAATTGCTGTATACTAATGGCATATAAGTATCTTAGCAGTACTATTTACAGTAATTAGAAGTCAGTACTATGTTTAATAAGTAAAATAGGGTTGACATTTTGTATATAATAGTACTTGAATTAATACAATTAGGCAATAGATATCAGTTTAAGTGCGCTGATGTAGAATTATGTTTCGACTTTAATATAATAATTATAATTAAGACCACAAAGAGAATAGTATAAACGTAATATTTATAATAATTGTAATTAGTAATTATCTTTTGTATTTATTTGAACGATTTCTATGAGAGTATGTACATGTATTTAAAATGATTACTGTTAAGTTATTGATTTAAATCATTTATTTATTTACTTTTTTTTCTTTTCTTTTTTTAAAAATGCTTTCTTTTTTGTGTGCTTGCTATTTTAACTTAGCAATGTGCTTAGCTCATCTCATGTAAATTATTACGTTTACTACTATTTTATATCATGTATGTTATATATATATTAATAATTCAACCGTCATATTTATCAACGATCATAAATCTAAACCTTACTGAAAATAAGTACTGGGCTGCGTTTCATGGAAAGTCCTATGTCTTAAGTCGGTCCTAAGATAAACATTGAGACAAGTTTGCGTTTCAAAGAAAGTCTTAAAAAAGGTCCTAACTTATGACTTCTATATTAATGACCAAAAACAGTCTTAAGTGTAGGAGTGTTTTAATATATGCATCTTAAGATTGTCCTATGTCAAAACCACTCCAAAATCAAAGATTGCAGTGTTCATGGTAGTGTTTTTAAAGACGGAGGACCCTGCACCGCGGACAGTTCACAGGAGCTGTACGTCTTTACTGACGAGGAGTTGATTTGTCGATACTGTTATTTCCAAGGGAATTGAACATGCAAATCACCGATTTGGTGAAAGGGGATATTTTACCCATGAAATATGGTGCTATATCAGTCAAATATATTTTGTATTTGTTAAAAATAAATATGAAATACGAGTATAAATATGAAAATGGACGGAGTCAAAACTCATATTTATATCAAGGGACTTCTTTTGCCATTTTGTTTGAAAAAAAACAAAAAACAGATATATGTACAGAGGTTTAAAGAGTTGTTTACATGACGCCACAATGTAACGCGAAACAGCGCAATCAAACAGTCAAAACATTACCTTATTGTGCGCTGTACAATTGCAGTTGCGTAGCAAGCAAGAGGATTCGTCACCAGTTTTCTTTGATAATGAAAAGGAATAAAACTTTTATTGTTTTTCGTGAAATATGGTATATATTTTCACAAAGCATTATAAGAGGCCAGTACATAACTTTTTATACTACACAGTAAATCCAATCCGGGATTATGCGCGTGCCATTGTATTTTGTAACTTTTTCAGGAGAGCGAATTGGTCATAAGTCTTAAGTTTACGACAAAAGATATGACAGTTACTTGAAACGGTCTGAAGTGCAAAAACTTTTTTCTCCTAAAGTTGGTCATAAGTCCTAGGATTTAGGATTAACTTAGGACTCTCTAGAAACGCAGCCCTGAAGTTTAAATTTTTCGTAACATTATAAATAGATTCTTAAACCATTTCGTTTTATGTTTTTACATTTTAAAAACTATTATAAGAATAACTCAATTTTAATTTGTAACATATACTAAATGTTTTGGATATCTTTACATAACGCGTGCAGCAAATGAAATAAAACAGTAAAATCTTTCAAAGATTATCGTGTCATATCAAGACCACTGAATGTAATTTTCACTCAACAACTGTTTATATTTTTAATACGACAATAATAATAATAGAAAAATGAAACAATTTCCATTATTAGAATTGCTTGTTTTTTGCATTATAATAAATAATATTTAGAATTCGTTTTCTGTTAAGTTATTAGTACAATTAAACGAAGTGATCAACATATATTTCTAAAAATAACCTTACGTAATGAAAACAAATAAGTTATGTACTCCAAAACCGTGAGTGACTTGCCATTTAACCTATGATACGTTTTGCCGGTGTAACGTTGTAAACTGACCCCCATAAAATAATGCCCCCGGTCAATATTTTACATAAAATAATGACCCCGTCATAATATTATGACCGGGGAGTCATAATATTATGACTCCTCTACACGTAGAAAAATGACCCTCGCATAGAATATTGACAAACTGTAGAATAACGCCCCCAACCCAAGCTATAAAGCCCTTACTGGACACTTTTAACGATGACAACGGCTAGGGTTATGTCATTCAACTGCAACAAGATATACATGCTTATATAAAGCTCCATGATTATTTACTTCAGTTTTTAACAACAGGTTTACCGTGAACAAAATATATCGAAATTAATAAGGGTTACAAACTCTAATTAATAATGATATGGTATTCTTCAGGCTGTTATCGTAAAATTCCCCTAGGTCGAGCGGTTGATACGCTCGCTTTGGAAGCGAGAGGTCTGGAGTTCAAATCCCAGTTCAGGCAACTCATTTTTTTAAGCCAAATAAACATTGAATTGAATATCAGTGCAGTGTTGCAATTAGTCTTATAGCCAATTTACTATGGTTATAACACTGGAAACAGCATTGGTGACACTATACAAACAAAGTGGTTTATAATCTCACAACCTTCACCTTTCTGACATTCTGAAACCAAAACAAATTCAGCGCCTTCTGTGCTTTGATTAAATGTCGGACCAGATTACTGTTTTCAGTTTCAGAATGATTACTATACACTACACACATGGCATTAATGTAAAGCTAATAAGCCCTCTTAATGAGGGGGGAGGGAAAGCCTTGAAAACAATTGCATCAACCGAAGTCGATAAAGCTGCATTTTTAAAAGATGCGTTATGTTACCGCAATTCGAAAAAGTATATCAAGGTATTTCGCCAGA